GTTGCTAGGGAAGAGGTAGATGATGAAGATACCCTTCTTCTGATGATTACGGAGGAGAATTATGGCATTGTTTATGCTCCGAGCAGCAGCTACTGTGGTGATAGTTTACGGGACAACAGTTGTACTGTTTTGGAAAGTGGTGGGAAAATGCGCTCGGATCGAAATGCATTACTTACCATGCGTGATGGAGTTCAAAGTAAAGATGAGTGGTACTTGGATTCCAGTTGTTCAACATATATGACGGGTCGAAAGGATTGGTTTGTGCAAATTAATCAAGCGTAAAAGAGCAAAGTCAAGTTTGCCGACGACACCACTTTAAGCGCCGAAGGGGTAGGAGATGTTTTGATCGGAAGGAAGAATGGTGGACATTCTAGGATCAAAGATGTCTTGTACATACCGTGAATTAAGTGTAATCTTTTAAGTATTGGCCAATTACTTGAAAGAGGTTACTTAATTCGGTTGGAGAACAAGATGTTACGCGTTTTAGATTCAAATGGTGTGTTGATTCTAAAAGCGCCGATGGCTGCCAATAGAACTTTTAAGGTTGAGTTAAAGGTTATGGAGCATCGTTGTTTAGCTACCGTGATAAGTAGAGAAGAGTGGTTATGGCATTACCGTCTTAGTCACCTTAATTTTAGGGATCTTAAAATGTTGCAACAAAGTGAAATGATAACGGGGCTGCCACATATTAGTGTTCCGACAGAGTTATGTGAGAAATGTGTGACAAGTAAGCAACACAAGAATGTATTTAGCAAGGATGCGGGTCGAATAACCAAAGGCTTACTTGAGGTGGTGTATTCGGATGTTTGTGGACCGATGCAAATAGAGACTTCTGGCGGTAATCGATATTTTGTTACGTTCATTGACGATTTTAGTAGGAAGCTTTGGACATATCTTATCAAGAGAAAGGATGAGGTATTCGGAGTGTTCAAGAGTTTCAAATCCATGGTGGAGTGTCAAAGCGGTCGGAAGCTCAAAATTCTCAAAACGGATGGTGGAGGTGAATATACTTCTAGTGAGTTTGGGAAGTTTTGTGATCTTGAGGGTATTGTGCGTGAGGTGGTGCCTCCATATACGCCTCAACAAAACGGGGCTGCCAAGAGGAAAATCGTACAATAATGAACATGGTGCGTAGTATTCTTTGTGGGAAGAAGTTACCTAAAGAGTTGTGAGGTGAGGCCGTGTCTACAGCCACCTACTTGTTGAATAGGTGTCCTACTAAGAATCTGAAGAAGATTACACCAGAAGAGGTTTGGAATGGTTTCAAACCAAGTGTGAATCACTTGCGCGTTTTTGGATCGATTGCATATCGTCATGTACCAAATCAACTTAGAAAAAAGTTGGACGATAAAGGTGAAAAGTTGATATTTGTTGGATATCACTCTACTGGAGATTACAAGCTATTTAATGAGAGGAATCGGAAAATCGTGATAATCCGGGATGTGCAGTTTGATGAAATAAAAACTGCTGAAATAGCAGGTGTAATCGATTACGCCAATGCTGTTAACCGATTACAGCCTGCTGAACAGCAGCAGTTTGTTGATTTGTTTGATCCGGAGAGTTCTGATGCCACTGTTCCTGTACCTACAGTAGTTGACGATGATGTTGTGAATAATGGTAGACCAGTGAGGCAAAGAGCCTTGCCTCATAGACTCCGAGATTGTGAGAGGTTCCAAGATAACGAAGTGAATAATGATGGTGATCTTATTCATTTTGCACTTATGGCCGAATCTGAACCGGTAAATGAGGAGGAAGCCTTAAGTGATCCTAAATGGATATGTGCAATGAAAGAGGAGCTGGAATCTATTGAGAAAAATGGTACTTGGGAGTTGGTCGATTTACCACATGGAAAGAAACCGATTGGTGTGCGATGGGTCTATAAAGTCATAGCAAATCCTAAAGGTGAAATAATCAAGCACAAAGCTAAATTAGTGGCGAAAGGGTTCTTGCAACGTGAAGGTATAGACTATGAGGAGGTATTTGCACCGGTGGCTAGATTGGAGACTATTTGTTTGGTTGTTGGGATTGTGCATAGCAACAATTGGGTGATTTATCAAATGGATGTAAAATCTGCGTTTTTGAATGGTCCTCTTGATGAGGAGGTTTATGTGGGGCAGCCATCCAGTTTCGTGATCAAAAATCAAGAGAGGAAGTACTACAAGCTACACAAAGCGTTGTATAGTTTGAAACAAGCTCCAAGAGCTTGGAACAAACGTATAGACGACTTTCTTATTGACATCGGTTTCAAACGGTATGTATCTGAACATGGTGTTTATGTCAGATCGGACACTATTGATGGTATTATCATACTATGCTTGTATGTTGATGATCTCTTGATTATGGGCAGCAATGACAAGAGTATTTCAAAGTTCAAAGTGGAGCTTATAAGTGAGTTTGAGATGAAGGACCTTAGTGTCATGAGATACTTTCTTGGCATAGAGCTCCACAAGTCAAAAGTGGGGTTGCTTATGCATCAAAGAAGGTATGCTCTAGATATCTTGAAAAAGTGTGAAATGGAGCATTGTAATGCTTCTAATACACCTTGTGAGGCTAGAGTCCAGTTGTCCAAAAGTGATGATGAGGATGATGTGGATCCAACACTTTACCGGAGTTTAATTGGATTGTTACGGTATTTGTGCAATACTCGACCAGACTTGGTTTTTAGCGTCGGTATTGTGAGTAGATTCATGGAGAGACCTAAGGTGTCTCATTTGGCGGCGGTCAAGATAATCCTTAGATATGTGAAAGGTACTCTTGGTTGTGGTATTTTGTTTCCCACATCGGATATGGGTCGCAAATGTACTTTACTTGGCTACACCGATTCTAATTGGTGCGGAGATAAAGATGATCGGAAATCTACGGCGGATTACATCTTTATGTTCGGTAGTACACCAATCTCATGGTGTTCGAAGAAGGAACCGGTTGTAGCACTCTCTTCTTGTGAGGCTAAGTACATTGCGGCATCATTGAGTGCTTGCCAAGCTATGTGGTTAGTAAATCTCATGAAGGAATTGGGATGTGGTGATGATGATGCCACCACATTATTTGTGGATAATGTTTCCGCGATAAATCTTGCGAAGAATCCGATTGCACACGGAAGGAGCAAGCATATTGAGATGCGGTTTCATTACTTGAGAGAATTGGTCGGTGATGGAAAGCTTAGATTGAGCTATTGCCGAAGCGAGGATCAAGTTGCGGATTTGTTGACAAAGGGTGTGACAAATGAGGTGTTCAAGAGACTGTTGAAGAGCTTGAGCATGATGAATTTGGAGCAACTAAAGTGAGGTGGTGTGTTGAAAGCTGTCAAATTCTGTTTTGAAAATTTAACAGCTTTGGCCACTTTAGTTGGTTTTGTTTGTTTTTTATTACTCTCTCATGTGTATATATACATTGTTGTAATCTCAATTCATAGTTAATGTCAATTTAGTAATTCATCCAATATTATTCTCTTCCCTATTCTCTCTTTCTCTCAATTCATCTTCTTTCTAAGTTTCTTTTCATCATTGTTACTACCTTCAAAATTCTGATTTTATGTTTTATGTTGTTCTAACAGATATTAATATTATGAATAGACTAATTAAATATGGTTTGATCTCTTGTGATGTTAATGATTTCGAAAAATATGGAATATGTTAAATCAAATATGATAAGAGAAATTAACCTGAAATGTTGTTTATAATTGATAAGATAATGTGATAATCTTGAAGACAAGTTATATTGGAAGAATGTGTTGAATGTTTCGATATGAAAAAAAAAACTGTTGATGGACTTTTGTTCCTTGAAGATAAGTGGCAGTTTAAATTTGGAGTTGTAATTACACTTTATGATACTTGTATTTCCTATTAGTTTCTAGTCTTTTAAATATAATTTTGGTTAAAAATACATGATTTTGAATTGATTATAACAAGAGTTAAGACTTATGTTTAAAGCAACAAGAAGAGAGGAAGGGCACTCCCACTTGAATCTAAGGGGTGTCTTTGTAGGGGCACCAACCCAAAAACATCCTTAATCAACATACAAAAATGACATACTACCCAACCTATATTGCCACTCCTAGTTAGTATTCATGATTCCAAGGCAATATGGTCAAAGGCAGAAACAAACCCCAATACCTCATTAATCCTACAATACATGGTAACAAATATATCAAAACAATACCCTCTCCTAAACAACACATATTATGATTAAACTCCTATATGATGGAGTCCTGCAGAAACATATAGTATCACAACACTAGACATCATAAATAACCCTGTACATTAACATCTGTAATTTCATTATACATAAAATCCAGCTACTCTGTATGAAGAGCATAGAACCTGTCCACATGGATGAATTGGCAGAGGTGAAAGAAGATAGAAGGGAAATTGGAAAGAAAGTGTTTAAGAATAAGGATATGCATGAGAGGAAAGGGCTTGAAAAGGGTGACTTGAAGTCAGAGAAGAAGAGATGGAATATATGGATGAAGGGAAACTCAAGGACAACAGATCAAAAGATGCAACATATGCTTTGCTGAGATGGTCAATAGTTAGTATCGACGAACATCGAAACCAAAAGTGAAGCATAGAGATCAAGATGAGTACATATCAAATCATAATAGTTTCTACCTATGAAGTCCGGACACTAGAAACACAACACCAACACTCGGTTTCAGACACTCTTTCAGAGGTGTCAGAGGTATAGAGGTTTCTACTAGATGAATGGAGCAAGTAAGTCCCAACAGCCCATCTTCTCCCTGATCACTATACCAAAATAAAAACAATCAAATCAAAAAAAATATAAAATATAAAACCCAAATTTGATGAAAAGGATTTAATGACTCTCTAATTTCAATTTTAATCTAAAATTTTCACTGCCCATCTAAATCATCCCATAGCAAAAATGGACTAAAATTAAATTAGAATAAATCAGAATAAAATGAAAAACAAAATCCTAACTTTTAGCATGCTAAATGCTAAAAGCTATGTTTCACTACCAACTTTTCATCTTATCCATGACTTTCAACCCATTCCCTTATGCTTCCTCATCTCCAATACTTTCCTGTGGGAATTAGAATGCACATCACTACGAAAAGTTGGGCTATTTGCAGGGCGGTATTCAGGCACAAGTCGGCCAGACTTATACCTCACCCCGCATGCATTACAAAGTGTTTTTGGACCCTTTGGACCTGCCCGCCATTGAGGAGTACTTTCGGCTCCACAGTGATTACATTTCCTCCCAATGGTCAAGGTTTGTACCGCTTGTTCTTTTGAAACTTTGTTACTCGGTATTCTCCACGAGAAGTGCTGGTTAGAGGTGTAAGCAAGGCCAAGGCGAGGCTTACTGCGAGACTTGCTCCGCGCACGGACAGGGAACTTTATGTGATTGTAGCCACTTAGGAGGGTAATGCTGTTGCTACTGTTATTGCTGTTGCTACTGCTTGTGCTGTTCTCAAGCATCGGCGCTGTCCTTTTATACTTCATGATATCTGGTTGAATACAGGCCAAGTCAACAAATGTTTCAACAGCCGGAAACGCATCTTTGTTGGATAGCCATTCGAGCTCTTCTTCTGCACACTCCTGGAATGTGAAAATAATCACTCATAAGTACGGAAAAAGAGGTTTCACAAGTCAACTCAGACATCGGACTGATACAACTAGTCAAACGATGCAGTGAACTTTGAATCAAGAAATTAATCCACAATGAGAGAGATGTGGCTCGGCAATATGGAAAGCTTGAAACAATGATCACACGAGTAAATGAAAAAAACTTTGATGTAAAGATAGAATATATTGTTGGCACCGAAGACACTAACAATCTAGGATTTCCAATACAATGATACTAAAAGGAAAAAAACACCTATAATTATTCTACTGTGGACAAGAACAATATAACATATCACAATTCTAAATTTCGAATTGGTTCCAACCAAATCAAAATTCACACATGCTTTTCTCTTCCATGACCACACCTCAATAAATCAAAACTCGATCAAAAACCAGCATACTCAATGATTATCTCATATGACCTAGCAAACATTTTGGAAAGGTTGAAATGGACCATAAAACTTACAGAAAACGAATTTGGATCGGCCAAGCCTAATGAATCAAGCGACAGTGGATCACCGCATTTTGGTTTAAGTGAAGGAAAGGCTTTCTTAGTGTTGTCATCATCATCCTCGCCTATGTCAGATGAGAAATCCAAAAGGTCGTCCACAGAACCAAGGGCTTCCATCCCTGAAAACAAATAAATGTGCGTTGAAGTTCAACGGTAGGTTTTATAGAGATAACAAATGGCAGTATCACTAATGCTATGCAAACATAAAACACAAAACAAAGAAGCACGTGCTATAGAAGTAAGCATGTTAACATGAATGACTTATATATACAACAACCCTCTTCAGCAATTTACATTATTTCACATAGAGTGCAGACCAGTGTTGTCTATGACGGATGGCGGTCCATGGCAGAGAGCCGAAAACCCGCCACAACGGAAGCTTTGTGGCTCTGTCATAGCGGATTATGGCCGAAAAACCTGCAATGTCAACCGATATGTACCATTGCGGCAGGCCCAAAAACCACCACTAATATCCGCCATGGCACTGCCATTGCAGATATTCAATAACACTGGTGCAGACAACTTGGAATTGCCACAATTCATTACCACAGCTAGAAACTATTGACATAAGTGATTTTACGATATAAAACCACTAAAGATTGAACAAAGCTAGAAGACTATAACACATAATGATTACCGATTAATCGAACCGATTAAAAGACAGCAGTTGAAAAAAAATAAAAAGCAGGTAAAAGAATGGTTGACAATAAACCATTGAAGAATAGTAAAAGTGAAAACATGCCACATTTTTTTTAAATGAAAAAACAAATTAAAAAGTTCAATAGAAGAAGAAGGAGAATTAAAACAATGCAGTAACCTTAAACTAAAAAACATGAAAAAACAACTAAAGGGGCCAACCAGACCAACCAGGTACCCATGAAATGTTTTAACAAAAACCCAATTCTCAAATTAATAAAATTACACATATATAAAGAGTAAATACACAGTCAAATTAGACATGATATTAGACATGATAGTAGCATAAAAAACAAAAAGATTGAAACAAAACACGGCACAAGAACAAGTAGTAAGGTAGAAGGGCAAATAAAAAAAACAGAAGCTACCAGCTTTTCACGTTTCTGTACTTGTTGAGAGACAAGAGAGCGGGTAAGCACCGGAGAGAGAAGAAAGAAACCCCAAAAAGAAATTTGAGAGACTGATAGAGCGAACGAGGGATGGTGAGGCACGTGTTGGGGATTAGGGAAACTCCATTTTTTGCATTTTTATTTTGTTTTAGTATTTATCTTAATATTCTTATTATCCTCTTTTGGCTTTTCATTTTTTTATGGAAGTTTCTAAGATTCTGATTTTATTTTTTTTGACTGAGTCGTTTTTATTTTCCTTAAAATTTAAGTTAAATGAATTTTTTTCATTTTTTATGAATAGATTAAAATAAGTAGCAATATTTTGAGATTCTTAAAAATTGTTTTTTTAAGGATTATTTTAGAATACAATTATTATGGTCAAATATATTAAAATTATAAATTATTATTATTATTAAAAAATATTAAAATATATCTTAAGTCATATTTTAATAAATACTTCAATTTCTTATAATAAATATGTTTAGTTATCGATTTTGATCCTTTTATTTTAATTTATTCATTCATTTTATTTTTCTATTTTAAATTTTAAAAATTTTGATATTTGTTAGAACTCAAAATTTATGTTTTGTATTTTTTTTATGCATTAGTATGAAATTGACATGTCATCATATATAAAAAAATTTGTGGAACATAGTATGTCATAAGTGACACGTTAAGAAAAATGGACACTTTGTGGATTTTAAATGTGTGAAAAATTGTGATTATTTAAGTTTAAAATAAAAAGATTAATTTTATAAATAAATCAGAATAAAAAATTAAAAGTATAATTAAACTTAAAAATATTAAAAACAAAATGAATGAATCATATAAGATCATTTTTTTTAATTTCTTTATTAAATATTTTTACTAACAAATTTCTTTGTCAGGAATATTTTTTTAAACGATATTATTTTCTTTGAATTTGGTCGCGTTTTTGACTTAATTATTTAGATGGAATAGGTATAGATATGATTTTAATTTTTTAAAGAGACTTTTCACGTGTTTTTATTTTGATTTGTTAAGAAAAAATTTTATTTAATAATTGAGATATTTCTTTTCATGGTAAGATTTAAATACAAAGATTTATTTCAAAATATAGTTTTTTATTTTGAAAATAACTTAAAATCACACGTTTAAAGAAATTTATCTCAATTCATTTGAATTAAGATGCATTGATAATTTTATAAAATATATTTAAAAAAGAGTATATTATAATATTATATACATTTGTGTTTCGGTTTAGGGCAAAGCCCAAATCACCTAGCTCTTATAGCATGTAACATCCGATAACACATATGTTAAATGGGTTTTCTGGTTCATCTAATGGTCCTTGGATGACAATCCAGAATGTCTGTATCCAATGATTGTTAGATTAGAAAGACAACTAAATGAATTAACGTCAAAGCATAAAAGGTAAAAAATAATGAAGAATGTTCTAGAACTTTGCGTTTTCGAGATAAACATGCATTAAAAGTATACTTAATCAAAGTTGATTGGATCATGTGGACCGTCAAATTCTAGGGATCCTATGACATTTATCTTTGAAGACAATTGTAGCAAATAAAAGGTGTTAGGTCCTCATAAACCCTAAGAACTTTCTATAAAAGGATAATATTGAATTATTCTTAAGTCTACGCAATCCTAACCTAAAAAAACAAGCATTTAGGGTCGTCGATGACTTGAGTTATGAAATAAATGAATAAAGGTTGTCAAAGGCTTTCGGGTTTATTAAGGGTTAGAGCTAGGTCACACACAACGAAGTGATAAGCTCTGGATGTGTGGTTTCTTTGTGTGTTAGAGATCCCCTGCCAACATCAAAGTCTTGGTGCATTTATAGCCTGTAGAGGCCTTGGATCAAGCAAACCAAGTCCTCCATTCCCCATTACGATTCTCGTGGGAATGTCTAGTTACTATTCAAAGATCCATGAGAAATAGTTAAACCTCACAACTTCCTAGGTACTGACTATAGACCTATTACACATTCCACCCGCAAATGCACGTTATAGATAGAGCAATGGGAAGTTGGGAGACTCATCTAGACAAGGGGCGATCAAACCAGGTGAAGGGCACTTGAATGGCATCAGGGGTGACTCGAGAAGGAAAAAACTTGACATTACTTCTAGGGTCTTCCTTAATTATTCCACTACATAGTCTTTCTAGTACGAGGTCTCGCAGATGGTGAAATTCTTTAAACCTTTACCTTTGAACCTTCATGTTAGTCCTTTTGGGATTTACTACATTATGCAAAACAGCTTGGAGTTTACTCAAGCTGGTTCTGGTACAGAAGGGACACATGTTGAACACGATGTTCCAACATGTGGGCTGCAACATCTGGTCTCTTGGAAACAGACAGATGGAAATTGCAGTTGGCTCAGATTTCGTCTATTCAAGACTCTCTCCATAATAGAAGATCTGCAAGTCAAGAAGAATAATTTATTTTTATGTACCGGTGCAACATGTGGAACTCAATGTTCCAACATGTGTTGTATAACATTTGACCTTGTTCAGCAAGCCATAAGGGATGTTGTTTGTTGCCATTTTTTATTGGACTTCAATCAGATTTGTTGTAGTTATTTTAAGCAATGTGTATTTGATTTGTTTGACAGCTGGAGGTGTCCAAATCAAATTTAAATTTGAATTTGAATTTGAACAAATCATATCTTTTGTTGGAAAGATTTAAGGAGCAAATCATATATTCATATCCAACTTATTCAACTGAGATTCTAGACGAATTAAATGCATATTTACAAGGAGGAAAAGCCTAGAAGACATTGCTATATAAGGATACTCAATTCTCATTGTTTGACAAGAGCGTTGGCGTGTAAGAACTAGGTTCTTTGTGTTAGGGTTTGAGTATTTTTTACTTGTATTCCAAGCTAATTCCATAATTGGATTAGTGAAGAATCTATTGTTGTAACCTATCTGTTTCAATAACTTTGCATAAAAGATTTGTCTTAGTTGAGTTGTAACATTAAATATTGTTCATTGAATTTTAAACACCAATCATAGTTATGTGATTGAGAAGAAAGTGAGTAGGTTCTCATATTTAGGGGAAGTCCTTAAATAGAAATTCATTAGGATTAGGAAGAAGATTTGAATAACATAAGGTTTATTTGTTCTTGTAAGACTAAGTGTACTAATTCGAAGTAGTGAATTTCCTTTCTTGGGTAGAATGCCCCCCCCCCCCCAACGTAGGTGTGGTTTCACCGAACTGGGCTACCAAACTCTTGCATTTTTATAAATTTCTGCATTGATTTACTATTGTTGTTAAACTTTCCTTTAATATGGTTTAAGAAGTTGAACAAGTTGTCCCAACATCTGTCCTTTGAGGAATATAATTTCAATTGGCATTAGAGCAGACTCCTTGTTCTGTTTGGGTGAACTCCAGGGAGATAATTTATGTTCAAACGTACAGCATGAAGGATAGAATGTCTATCAATAGACCACTTCTTTTAGATGATTCTAATTATGATTATTGGAAAGCCAAAATGGTGGTGTTTCTCAAGTTCATATATTTAAAAACAAAATAAATAAATCATATAAGATCAACTTTTTAATTTCTTTGTTAAATCTCTTTACAGATAAAAATTTTGTTAAGGATTTTTTTTCAAACTATAATATTTTCTTTGAATTTGGTCGTATTTTTGAATTAATTACTTTTATTTAGATGAAATTGTTACATATACGATTTTATTTTTTTTAAGGAGACTTTTTAAGCGTTTTTATCTTGATTTGTTAAGAAATTTTACTATTCAATAATTTAGATTTTATTTATTAATATGGGAAGATTTCTAAATACAAAGATTTCTTTCAAAAAATAGGATTTTATTTTGAAAATAACTTAAAATTACGCGTTTAAAGAATTTCATCTCAATCCATTAGAATTAAGATGCATTGATAATTTGGTTATAAAACATATATAAAAAAAGTATATTATAATATCGTATATATATTTGTGTTTCGGTTTAAGGCAAGGCCCAAATCACTTGGTTCTTATAACATATAGCATCCGACAATACATATGTTAAATGG